GCCAGTTTTATACTTTCAGGGACTGGGAAGAGGAACAACGATGGAGGAGCAGGGTCGACCAACAGAGGAAGACGAGATGACGAGTCCATTTCCCATCTCTATACAGCAGCCAACATGGCCCAAAGTGGTAAGTAACTTTTCGTGATTTGTTGCATTCTTTTGAAGTTTTACTAACATTGTGCCAGTTTTATACTTTCAGGGACTGGGAAGAGGAACAATGATGGAGGAGCAGGGTCGACCAACAGAGGAAGACGAGATGACGAGTCCATTTCCCATCTCTATACAGCAGCCAACATGGCCCAAAGTGGTAAGTAACTTTTCGTGATTTGTTGCATTCTTTTGAAGTTTTACTAACATTGTGCCAGTTTTATACTTTCAGGGACTGGGAAGAGGAACAACGATGGAGGAGCAGGGTCGACCAACAGAGGAAGACGAGATGACGAGTCCATTTCCCATCTCTATACAGCAGCCAACATGGCCCAAAGTGGTAAGTAACTTTTCGTGATTTGTTGCATTCTTTTGAAGTTTTACTAACATTGTGCCAGTTTTATACTTTCAGGGACTGGGAAGAGGAACAACGATGGAGGAGAAAGGTCGACCAACAGAGGAAGACGAGATGACGAGTCCATTTCCCATCTCTATACAGCAGCCAACATGGCCCAAAGTGGTTAGTAATTTTTCGTGATTTGTTGCATTCTTTTGAAGTTTTACTAACATTGTGCCAGTTTTATACTTTCAGGGACTGGGAAGAGGAACAACGATGGAGGAGCAGGGTCGACCAACAGAGGAAGACGAGATGACGAGTCCATTTCCCATCTCTATACAGCAGCCAACATGGCCCAAAGTGGTAAGTAACTTTTCGTGATTTGTTGCATTCTTTTGAAGTTTTACTAACATTGTGCCAGTTTTATACTTTCAGGGACTGGGAAGAGGAACAACGATGGAGGAGCAGGGTCGACCAACAGAGGAAGACGAGATGACGAGTCCATTTCCCATCTCTATACAGCAGCCAACATGGCCCAAAGTGGTAAGTAACTTTTCGTGATTTGTTGCATTCTTTTGAAGTTTTACTAACATTGTGCCAGTTTTATACTTTCAGGGACTGGGAAGAGGAACAACGATGGAGGAGCAGGGTCGACCAACAGAGGAAGACGAGATGACGAGTCCATTTCCCATCTCTATACAGCAGCCAACATGGCCCAAAGTGGTAAGTAACTTTTGGTGATTTGTTGCATTCTTTTGAAGTTTTACTAACATTGTGCCAGTTTTATACTTTCAGGGACTGGGAAGAGGAACAACGATGGAGGAGCAGGGTCGACCAACAGAGGAAGACGAGATGACGAGTCCATTTCCCATCTCTATACAGCAGCCAACATGGCCCAAAATGGTAAGTAACTTTTCGTGATTTGTTGCATTCTTTTGAAGTCTTACTAACATTGTGCCAGTTTTATACTTTCAGGGACTCGGAAGAGGAACAACGATGGAGGAGCAGGGTCGACCAACAGAGGAAGACGAGATGACGAGTCCATTTCCCATCTCTATACAGCAGCCAACATGGCCCAATATGGTAAGTAACTTTTCGTGATTTGTTGCATTCTTTTGAAGTCTTACTAACATTGTGCCAGTTTTATACTTTCAGGGACTCGGAAGAGGAACAACGATGGAGGAGCAGGGTCGACCAACAGAGGAAGACGAGATGACGAGTCCATTTCCCATCTCTATACAGCAGCCAACATGGCCCAAAATGGTAAGTAACTTTTCGTGATTTGTTGCATTCTTTTGAAGTTTTACTAACATTGTGCCAGTTTTATACTTTCAGGGACTGGGAAGAGGAACAACGATGGAGGAGCAGGGTCGACCAACAGAGGAAGACGAGATGACGAGTCCATTTCCCATCTCTATACAGCAGCCAACATGGCCCAAAGTGGTAAGTAACTTTTCGTGATTTGTTGCATTCTTTTGAAGTTTTACTAACATTGTGCCAGTTTAATACTTTCAGGGACTCGGAAGAGGAACAACGATGGAGGAGCAGGGTCGACCAACAGAGGAAGACGAGATGACGAGTCCATTTCCCATCTCTATACAGCAGCCAACATGGCCAAAAGTGGTAAGTAACTTTTCGTGATTTGTTGCATTCTTTTGAAGTTTTACTAACATTGTGCCAGTTTTATACTTTCAGGGACTGGGAAGGGGAACAACGATGGAGGAGCAGGGTCGACCAACAGCAAAAGACAGGATGACGAGTCCATTTCCCATCTCTATGCAGCAACCAATATGGCTCAAGGTTGTAAGTAACAAACTGATTATTTAAATGAAGTTTGTCATTTGTTAGGGAATGTGAGTGATTCTCCTTTGATGTGTTCCCAATATTATGGCTTTCCAATTGATGTTCGCTTTTTCAGGCTTTGACCTCTTGAGTTTGAATTGACAGGAAGCAGAGATAGCCACCTCTGAAGGTCAGTCTGGAGTGTTTTCTGCTGCATTCAGAAAGTATGGGGTGTATAGTAGTTGTAAGTAGCGTTACAAAGGTGTTTCTTAGTCTTAGGTTTAGTTTTGTATAGTATTTCCCGTAGGTGCAGTTGTGTTGTAGTGAGTTAGTAAGTAGGCTTTAGTTGATATTTAGACAGCTTAGAGGAGTGTAGGTTATTATTGTAATTAAGGTATTTGTTAATTAGTGCATGATTAGTGCTTGTGGTGGATAGGTTTGCATGATTAACACCCTAACAAGCAGGGTTCTCCATGAGCTGTTTTACTGTGTTGGTCCCGACACAGAAAAATGTTCTCCGACACAGTAAAGATTCAAATTTTATCTGTGCGACACATTAAAAATTTTGCTGACACAGTAAGATCTGTGATAATAAAAAAAAATTGAAACATACAAATTATCTCTATCTGAAACATAATTGATCAAACAATTCTACCGTCTTTCAATTCTATACGATATCTAGATCACTTAATTATGCTTTCACCTTGCATAATCAATTATTTCCTAGACCCTCAATGGACTTGACGCATGAAGAAACAAAGACAAAAAATTGGATTTCAAACTTCCATGTAACGCTCATTTGGTACTAGTAGTTGCAATTAAAGTACACTGTATTATTTTTAAAAATATATTTAAATGTCTTTTCTTTAGAGCCATGGCTCTAGAATTATGTTTGCAATGTAAATCAAACATAACACTGTACCAAAATCATTTACTTGATGTAAATAAATAGTTTTCAATTTTCAAGGAACTTTTAAAAGTATTTTACCATTCCGAAGTCTCTTTTTTTGTAATTCCTTAATTCGATCAATAAAATTGACAAAAAAAATTATGACAAATTTGCTTTAAAAAATTGTAAGTAGTTCAACTTTATAGACAAGAATTTCCTCTGCATTTCACAACATGTGGTAATATGTTCGACCATATTATTTTTGTAACGAATGGGTGATTTTTTTTTTAAAATTGTGTGCATGTATTCTTAAGTAATTATAATGAATAGTGAGTCAGTTGCAAATTTGATCGTTAAAATACCGTGACATTTTAGTGCTTTGCGTAAACTCTGCAACACAGTAAAATTTTAAACAATGGAGAACCCTGAACAAGTAACAAGCTACTAAAACTACTAACGTCTGCTAAATGTTGTGTGACGCGTCTAGTGTGTTGGTGTTAGTGTCTGTGTGCTTGTCACCTCTCGCTTTCAGCCATCACCGCTGGCTAGCAGCAATGCGAAGGGGGAAGAAATTCTAATGACTTCCCCTGCCAGTACATAGCCTCTCCACAACAAGTCCTATGCGATGCCTCCACGTGGAAGCAGACGGATACTGGGTATCATTTTGTCCCAGGCTAAGTTCGCAAGGACGCACAGGAAGATGAGTCTCAAAAGCATTGGTAAACATCTCATATAGGATCTCTCCTGATCACAAACCCAATTTAGTAATAGAATCAATTGATATAAGTGCTGGTTTTTAAAAGAAGTGAACCTTTGTTCATTTTATGTCTTTGTCATCTTTTTAGCTCACCTGAGCCAAAGGCTAAAGTGAGCTTTTCTGATCACATTTTGTCCGTCGTCTGTCCGTCCGTCCATCTGTAAACTTTTCACATTTTTGACTTCTTCTCAAGAACCACTGGGCCAATTTTGACCAAACTTGGTACCAAACTTGAGTGAAGGGGAATTTAAATTGTTAAAATGAAGGGCCAAGTCCCCTCACAAGGGGAGATAATCAAGAAAAGACAAAACTAGGGTGGGGTCATTAAAAAATCTTCTCAAGAACCACTGGGCCAGAAAAGCTGAAACTTCTGCGGAAGCATCCTGGGGTAGTGTAGATTCTAAATTGTTCAAATCATGACCCCCGGCGGTTGGGCGGGGCCACAATGGGGAATCAAATTTTTACATAGAAATATATAGGAAAAATGTTTGAAAATCTTCTGCTCAAGAACCACTGGGCCAGAAAAGCCAGAAAATTTCATTCTCGCATATAATATAATTCCTTAAGATTATATATAGCAATGACCACAATTTTGAAAATTTTGTCTCGCTAATGAAGAGTCATTGACTATCTCGCGAAAATAAGGTGTTGCGAAATTTAAGTGATTTACAGTATATAGGAAACGTCTTCTCAATAATACCAAAGCCATAAAGTCATATTGATATGGAAGCATCCTTAGGTAGTGTAGATTCAAATTTGTCCAAATCTTGATTCCAGGGGGCAGGGAGGGGCATCAATGGGGATAAAATTTTAACAAAGGAATATATAGGAAAAAATTTTATGTTCAAGAACAGCTAAGCCATTGTTATTGATATGAAAATGTCTCCAGGTAGTTATTCAAGCCCCCTTCTCCTCTTCCTAAATTTATACTTTTCAATACTGGACTAATTTGTCATTTACTAGCCAATATGCTTAGGTGAGCATATTGCCCATTGGCCACTAGTTTATTTTAGAAATCTTCTCACATGGTTTGAAGTGCAAGTGATCCACTTTTGGTGTCTGTTAATTTTTATCTTTTTAAGAGGAATACCTTTAAGGCTGAACAGGATCCTGAAGTGAGGAGGACTCCTCTCTCATTGAACTGCATACAGCAGCAGAAAGCAGGGTAAGATTCAGATTTTACTTGTTGTATCTTTGCTTGCCTATTGATGTTGGCTGTAACAAGCTTTAACATCTGGACCTTCAATTGACAGATTTCAGTTCCCCTTTGATTCAGAAGAGGAACAACAATGGAGGACCAAGGTCATTAATATAAGAAGAGTCTATTCCTGTCTGTGTTTTGCAGGTATTAGGTTTCAAAAGTGGTAAGCAACAAGCTGCTTTTTACTGAAGCTTCTCACTTGGTATGAAGTGAAAGTGTTTCCCCTTTTATGTCTCTGTTTTATCTTTTTAAGCAGAAGAAAGTTAAGACTCATGACCAGGAATTCTAAGTGAGGAAGAGTCCCTTTCCCATTCTGCTGCAGCCATGAGGAGAATACTCGTAAGAATCAGACTTTACTTCTTTTTTACCTATGGAACTTCATCATGACCCACTTTAACAGGCAGAAGTCTTACAAGTATTTTTTATTTAATTATTTCTGACATATATTTGTCCTCCCTACTCTAAAGTAACTATGCTTTCCTCTCCTTGCCCCAATATTCCACCTTATTCCTAGCTATCATAACCTTATTGTCTTTATTTGCTTTTTGATTTTCAAGCTAATAATGTTGTAATGATTATGTTCATTTGAATTTTTGTGATTATAACATTGCTTTGTATTATTGCTTATCTTCTCTCCATCAAGTATTTTCAAGGAATTTGACAAGGGAAGAGGACCAGTGCTGACCAAGTGAAGAAAAAGAAGAGTCTATTGCCAAGCTTTGTACAGCAGCCAATATCTGATTAAGGAGTGGGTAAAAAGATTTATTTTTTTGCAATTTACAAATTTTCTTTATACACTTATCAAATCATAGGTCCAGGGGGATTTACTTCTGCGCTGCACAACAGCAAGACTGTGTTGCAATAACAATAGGGCATCCCGAGGATGTGTTGTTTCAAATTACGTTACATCATGATCCCTTTGGACTAGGATTACAGTAAAACTCGGTTATAGCGAAGTCCTGGGGATCTGTTAATTTAATTCGCTATATCCGTAATTTGTTATATCCGTATAACGAATTCGTATAACCATATATAGCGAATTCGAAATATGCATGTTTTCCTTCAAGTGTTACTATAAAAATGTTAGGGAAGCAAATTATTACAAAACATAGTTTCGAAAACTAAGGTTTTATTATGAATTGAATTTTATATACAGATGCTAAAAGAAAATAAAGTCAGTTCAATTTATCACATTTTAAGATCTTTGAAAGTTCGTTATAAAAGATGTAAATTTCATTATATTAAATCTCAAGGGAACTCAAAATCAGTTCGCTATATCCGTAAATTCGTTATATCAGAGTTCGTTATAACCGTAAAAATTTACAAAGATTTGTTAAGAATTTTGCCGGGGACCGAGAAAAACTTCGCTATATCCGTGAATTCGCTATATCCGTGTTCGTACTAAACGAGTTTTACTGTAGTAAAAAAAAATATGAATTAAGAATTTTTCTTTTGATGACAAAGTCAAGGTGACTCAGGTGAACATTTTGGCACAAGGTATTTTTGTTCATGTTTTTTTCATTATCTTTGGATTTCCTTTGTTAACAAGTAGAAGATGAGACTGATCTCAATCAGTTAACAAGAATGTGGAAAGTAAGGACTTACTACTGTCTAACCTAAACATTGATGGTTAGTCAGATCAGATGCATGTAAAGCTCTAGACCTTGCATTATGTGAATTAGAGGAGATTTTGACTCTCTCATTGCTTGGATTCTTAGTGTCTTTTTAATATGCAGACGGTTATGCTGGCATTGATCCGTTTCCAAAAGCAGATCAACAATTGATTCCTCAAGACTCCAAAGAGATCAACTATGGGACCTGAAAATAAAGGTAAGACACATGTACAAGCTCTGCAAAGCTTAGCTATTTTTCATTTATTAAGATTTTATTAATATTTATGTTGAGTCCTTGTGATTTCTTTTTTTACAGGCAGACTGCCATCAATTTCATGTTTCTTTGATAGCAGACAAATATGCTTCAACAATAGTGCAGAGAGTAATTTAAGGTTTGGACTGCAAGTGATGGACACACTAAATATTAACTCAACTCAAAGAATTCAATGGATAGTGCTGAGTACATTATTATATATCTACAAAGTGAGGGGCACACTAAATAGCTTAACTGACAGAATTCAATGGACCGTGCTGAGAACATTGTTATATATCTACAAAGTGATGGACACACTAAATAGCTTAACTGACAGAATTCAATGGACCGTGCTGAGTACATTGTTATCTACAAAGTGATGGACACACTAAATAGCTTAACTCACAGAATCCAATGAACAGAGTTGAGTATGTACTAATATCTACAAAGTGATGGACACAGTAAACAGCTTAATTCTCAGGATTCAGTGTACCATGCTGAGTACATAACTCATTAAAGATAATTCATATGACATCCACAGCAGATCACTCGAAGTTGTGTTACTACATTATTGTACAATTTTTCATATACTACGTTATTTTTTCTGAATGTTTTTTTTTGTATCTGTATATTATATTTTTTAATTTAAAAAAGTTAAAGATTGGATTTTTAAGCAAAAATATCAAGAGAGGTAAATCAGTGCTTGTCTGAATATCTAAGCTTAAGAGAAAGGGAGGTAATTTTTTTTATTGTGAATCCTTGTCCAGAGAATATGCTTTCTCCCCTTGGTCCAATGTGGCTAATACTTCTCTCACAGAGTGCCACTGGTCAATGGATGTGTAGTGACCTTGAACAAAGTTTCTAGGCCAAGAGTCAAGGTTAAAACCCCTTTCAGCTACTTTACATTTTTATGTTCATTGCTGAAAGTGGGACCCTTTGAGATGGCCACCATCTCAATGATATCTAATTTTAGTTTGAAAATTGCTAGAAAAGATAAAGTGATCTCATTGTAACATTATTATTTTTTAGTGTTTTAGATTATAAATAAATATAACAATATGCAAAATCTAAATTCTTTTATATTTTCTCTCCTTTGATTTACATAGCAGGCCTTGCAGTTTTTAGCTCATATGAGATTTTCTGGTCACCTGTTGTCCATCGTCCATCCGTCTGACTGTCCATTCATCTGTAAACTTTTCACATTTTCAGCTTATTCTTGAGAACCATTGGGCCAATTTTGACCAGACTTAGTACAAAACATCCTTGGGTTAAGTGGGAGTTTAAATTATGAAAATATAAAGTCCCTTCCGAGGGGAAATTGTCAAGAATATACAAAAATATGGTGGGGTCATAAAAAAATCTTCTCAAGAACCACTGGGCCAGAAAAGCTAAAACTTCTGTGGAAGTATCCTGGGGTAGTGTTACTAGTGTAGATTCTAAATTGCTTGGATCATGACCCCTGGGGATTGGGAAAGGTCAAGATAGGTATTAGGAGGAAATCTGTTTAATAACATAATGGCCAAAGTTACTCAGGTGAGTGATGTGGCCCATGGGCTTCTTGCTTATCTAATTTAGTTTTAGTTGTTACTGAGGTTCTAAGTAATTTAAGTTTTTATGAAATATTTTTCCTTGTCAAGTTCTATAAGCATGTTCTATTTCATACACAAGTGGTATATGAAGATTTTCTAGATGTTTCATATTTTTTCAATTTTTCTTGAAAAGCATAACTGATGTACATGTAATTGTAAAAACTGTGTTTGTCCCTTGTGATACATGATTAATTTATGTCAGTTTGAATTTATCATATATATTAAAATACACTATTATACAGTCTGTTTGTCATGGAATTAAACTTGTTAATTTTTTTTTCCACCTCTGTAATTGAAGATTTGGGGGCATATTTTGATAAAACTGTCTGTCTGTTTATGTGTCTCCAACTTTACTAATTTTTACTACCCATGGCCATTCCTTTTGAACTTTTTTTAACCTTTAAGTTAGACTTTGACCTACTTTGGTAAAAAAAAAATGATGTGAATGATCAGTGCTAGGGCTTTCATATTTCAAATGTGTATTCCTTGTAATGAAACTTCTCTTTTTACCCCAAACAAAGAAAGTTTTAGGGATATATAGGAATCATATTGTCTGTGAATGTAATTTTGTCTAGGCTCTAACTTTGATATATGGAAACATTGGAAGCTTATACTTTTTGTAGAGCTTGCTTGTAATGACCCGACAGTGAGTCCTGATCTGACACAAGGTCATTCCTGCAAGTTCAAGGTCACTGGCCTAAAAGTATGAAATTTTTGTCTGGGTCATAACTTTGTAGAAAGAATCACTGGAAGCTCAAACCTGGTACAGGGATTGCTTATGACCCAAAAATGTGTCATGATCTTATCCAGTCATTCCATTTAGTTCAAGGTTACTAGTAGAAAAAAGGTATGACATAACTTGACTTTGTAATGGAGAGTCAGTGGAAGCTCATACTCGGTACAGATATTGCTCATGATCAAAGACTATGCCTTGACCTTTATCCAGGGTCATTTTGGCGATTTCAAGGTCACTGGTCGAAAAAAGAAAAAAAATGTCTCGGCTAAAACTTTATTTGGAAAAGAATTGGTACAGGTATTGTTTTTGAAATAAGGAAAGTTCTTATTTTAATCCAGTGTCAATGCAGCAAGTTCAAAGTTACAGGCAGAATAGTGTAAAATTATTTTTTTAAGACTTTAACTTAACAGTGTAGAAATACTAGGAGCTCGTACTTGATACAAAGATTGCTCATTGGAACCTGATACAGGTACTGTTTATGAACCTAAGGAGTGTCATGACTTTAATTTGAAGTCAAATAGCAAGTGAAAGGTTGGTGGTATAAGAATTAAAAATTATGACAAGCCTTTATTATCTGATGGAGAAATATCTGTACGTATGCACGATGATTCACTTAAAGTTTACTAATGATCAAAGTATATGTGAATTTTGACTAGGTCTCAGTCTTTTTGGCAAGAAATTGAAATGAATGGCAAATTGAAAAAAAAAAAAATCATTTTGGACCAATCCCGATCGAAATAAAACCATAATGAATAAAATAACAATTTATTGCCTTCTTTATTGTCCCCCGCTTTAGCGAAAGCGAGGGCACATTAAATCTCATTCGTCTGTCCATCCATCACAAAAACTTTAACCTTGCCCATTATTTTTGATTTAGTGGAGCTATGACTTTTATATTTCACTTGTGTGTCTCTTGTGAGAAGACCTTTCTTTGGGTACCACCATATTTGACCTTTTGACCTAGACCTTGGAGTTTGACCCACTTTTACACAAAAAATCCAAACTTTTACTTTGGCCATGTCTTTTGAATTGTAGAAACTAGGAATTTCATATTTCACATATGCATTTTTTGTGTCAAGGCCTTTCATTGGATACCAACAATTTTGACCTTTTAACCTTGACCTTAGAGACCTATGAAAAAACTTTTACCTTCACCATAACTTTTGAACGGAAAGAGCTAGGGCTATCGTACTTCAGATATGTAATCCTTGTGAAAAGACCTTTCATTGGAAACCAAGAACTTTGACCCTTTGACCTTGATCTTGGAGATTGACCTAATTTTCAAAAACTTTGACCATGGCCACAACTTTTGAACAGTAGATACTACATGTAGGACTTCATATTTTTGCACATATGTATTTTTTGTCACAAGACCTTTCATTGGATACCAACAACTTTGACCTTTTGACCTTGGAGATTTCCATACTTATGAAAAAACTTTAACCTTGACCATATCTTTTGAATGGTAGAAACTAGGACTTACATATTTCACATATGTATTTTTTGTGGCAAGGCCTTTCATTGGATACCAACCATTCTGACATTTTGACTTTGACCTCG